AACAGAAATATCTGTTTCCAGAGTGGAAACTGGCAGATGGGTATGCCCACAGGAGTGAAGGAACACATGTCTGGCAGTGCCTGTTGTGGTGGGTCATTGTAGGAATCTCTGACGATACCACTGGGGGGTGGTTGGGGTTTGGGGAGCAGCTGGCAGTGTCTGTGGAGGTGGGTGGGTGGAGAAATCCCCAACAATGTCCATTTGGTTTTATTGGTGGTATTTGTGTTGTGTTGTTGGTGTGTGACTTTTGGAAAGAGCCCATGGGTTACAGAGTAGAACTGCTCCATAGGGTCTTCTTGGCTGTAGTCTTTGTGGAAGCGGATCACCAAGCCTATTCTGTGGTGCCGCTGGGTCAATTTGAACTGCCAGCTTTTTGGTACCAGCTGAGTGCAAACTGTTAGAGCCACCTAGGGATCTTTGATTGAGGTTTTGGTGTGCAGCTGAGAGTGCCTGTGGGGATGAGTGGTTGGAGAGTGTGGGAGCCCCTGGGTAGTTGGGTGGTTGGGATTTGGAGGCACACCTGGCAGTGCCTATGGGGGTGGGGAATTGGGGAGCCCCTGGCAATGCCCCTGGGTAGCTGGGTGATATGGGACCGCACCTGATGATGCCTGGGTCCTTCCTCCGGTGCCCCACCGGTCGGCGCCATTCCTCCACCATCACCACAGACTGCCGGTTGGCAAGGAGGCCACAGAGAAAAAGGGCAAGTGGAGGCATGAGCAGCAGGCCCAGGCCATAGAGGGCATTGTAGCGTGCCAGGCAGGGACAGTTGAAGTCAAAGGAAGAGTACAGCTTGACCGTGACAATGGCCAGCAACAGGCAGATGCCATTCATCACTGACTCTGAGCTGGACTGGAAGTGCTGGAAGATCATTCGAAATTTATCCATGGCTCTGGCTGGGCGAGTAGGGGCAGTCGGCTGGGCAGTGAGACTTCAGCTTCCTTCTGGCCAATGTCAGACCACACTCCAGAAGAGCCTGGAGGCCACAAGAGGGTCTGGATTCTCTTCCAAAGACCTGAGGGGGTAAAGAGGAGGCTGTGCCCAGACCCCAGCCCAGCCACCCAGAGTCCAGTGGAGGACTAAAAGCAGAGGCCAACTCCCCACAAAGGCTCCCCTGCTCAGCCTGATTAGCCTCTAAAGCCACTCCCCTCCTCTCTGGGGGCATGAGCCACTGCTGGTGACCAGCCAGCCCAAAGCACCTATAGGCAAATGGGCTCTGCCTTGTTATGCCATGTCTCCCCAGCCCACTCCCTCCTCTCTTCAGGGTTTGTATTCTCAGGTCAGACAGCTGGTGGGGAGTTCCATAAGGCACAAGCAAATTCTAGGTGTGGTAAGGCAAAGATGTTGACGGAGGTTCTGGTCTTGATTAAAAACAGGACTTGATGTAGCCCAGCCTAGGGAGATTTCATGTCGGCTTTTGTGCTGAGAGGAACTAGATTGCTGTTGTAGTTAGTGGCTGTGGTATAGTGAACTGCTAATTTTAAGGCCCTTCTAGCCATAGTTTTTGTAATTCCCACCAATTGAGTTGGTTCTGACTCATAGTGACCCCTCCTTGGGTTTCTCTACAGAGATACAGGCAGTATCTCTACAGAGGTAGATAGCCCAGTCTTCCTTCCATGGAGTGGCTGATGGGTTTGAACCACTAGCCTCTGGTTAGCAATCAAATGCCTTAAGCACTATGCCACCAGAGATCCTAATGACTGGGTGGGATTATGCAAATAAGGTATGTGGAACCCTAACATGGGGTTTGGTCAGTTTTGCCATCCCACTAGGCTTAAATTGAACCATCCCAGAGGTGGAGAGAGGGACCCCACGGCCACCAAGAAGAGATGGGAGTGGAGTGTATCCTTTGAACCTGGGATCCCTGTGCTGAGAACCTCCTTGACCCAGGAGACACAGAAAGAGACCTATAACACTGGAGATGATGAGAAGCAGCAACAGTAAAACCAGGAGACTGCAGGCAACTGTGCAGTGGGCTTCCTAGCCCGTGGAGTGAGAAAGCTGAGTACCTTTGGGCATGAGGCTTGCTGGTGGAGTGGGGTGGACTAGGGTGCCTCTGGGTAATTATGTTGTTGTTGTTGTTGTTAGGTGCCATTGAGTAGGCCCTGACTCATAGTGACCCCTCCTTGGGTTTCTGAGGCAGTATCACTACAGAAGTAGAATGCCCAACCTTCCTTCTGAGGAGTTTATAGGCTAAGTTAAAGAGCTCTGTATAACACTTGCCTGAGCAGGGCAGAGGCCAGACTGAGGGGCTGAGGGCTAGAAAGAGACTGGCCTGTGAACATGGCTGAGCTGAAACTGTCCTGATCAAACAACTGTATCCTGAGTGTTCCTGAACCTGAATTGTAACCTGTTACTTCCCTAAAAAGCCTCATAATTGTGAGTATTGTCTGGGAGTTCTGTGTGGTCATTGCAATGAATTATGGAACCCAGCAGAGAAGTAGAAAGTGCTGTGGGAGGGACAGCTGGTATCAGAACTGGTAAGAAGTTTGGAGGGTGGAGACACGTGTGACCCCTCCTTCATAGGAATCAGTCTTGGGGTGTTGACGCAGAGAATGACTCTCCCCCTCATGAAGTTAGAGAGGAGGTCAGATGCCTCTTCAGGGCATTTTGACCGTTGCTGTGTCAACTCTGAGTCATGGTGACCCCACGGTGTAGAGTAGAGCTGCTCCATAAGCTTATCAAGACTGGGACGTTTTAGAAGTAGATCCCCACGCCTGTCCTCGGAGGTGTCCCTGGGATGGGGGTTGGAGCTGCCAACATTGTGGCTAATAGTCCAGTGCTTAGCCATTTGCAAATGGCCACCCAGGGCTCCCAAGGAATCTGGAGGGGAACGTCTAACCCTGTCTGAAGGCTCCCTAGAAGAGAAGGCCCTTGAAAAGACCATTAAACATGTGTCTGTGTTCGTCAGCATTATGGATTCAATTGTATCCCCCAAGATATGTGCTGAAACCCTAACCCCTGTACCTATAAACATGACCCTGTTAGAAAATGGGGGCTTTCCTTTTGAAAGTAATGAGGTGGTCTGCTGCTATAACAGAAATACCAGAAAATAACAGAAAGCCAAGTGAGTAGCTTTAATGGACAGAAATGTATTTTCTCTCAGTTTAGGACACTGGATGTCTGAATTCAGGGCACTGGCTAGGGGAAGGCTCTCTCTCTGTCTCTCTGGAGGAAGGTCTTTGTCTCTTTTCCGTTTCTATTCCTAGGATCCTTGGTGGTCATGTCCCCTCCATTTACACTTGTTTCCTTAATCTGCTCTTTTATATCTCAAAAGAGATTGACTTGAAACACATATGAAGTACAGCTTCATTAACAAAGCTAAGAAAACCCATTCCCAAATGGGGTTATAACCACAGGTATAACTGAAAAACAAACCAAAGTCATTGCCATTGAGTTGATTCTGACTCACAGTGACCCCCATTGGGTTTCCGAGGTGGTAAATCTTCATGGATGTAGATTGCCTCATCTTCCTTCCATGGAGCAGCTGGTGAGTTTGAACCACCAACTTTCTGGTTAGCAGTCAATGGCCTTAGGCACTGCACCACCAGAGCCCCTTTTACCACAGGTATAGGAGTTAGGATTTATAATACATTTTTTGGGAACACAATTCAACCTATACCAGGTCATACTGGTGTAGTGTGGATCTAAAACTAATCACTTCTTCATTATAGAAAGACCATAATAGACGCAGAGACACACAGGAAAGATAGACACCAAGGAATGCCAAGGAGTACCAAGGCACTTCCAACCAGGAAACACCCTCCCAAAAAGCCAAAGCTCTGATTTGGACTTTCAGCCTCCAAGACTGAAAAATAAATTTCAGTTCTTTAAAGTCACCCAGTTGTGATATGTTTTGTTACAGGAACACTAGGCAGTGATGGGGGTCTTGGAAGGAGAAGGCCTTCTAGGTAGAGGATTCTGCAGGAGGAAAGGCCTGAGCTGAGAAGCAGCCTGGTGTGGCCAGCAGTTTAGGGTTGTTAGAATGTAAGGGGTATCAGGCAAGGGCTCTGGACAGGGCTGGAGGGGTCAGTGGGCATCTGCAATACTCCCCTGCATTTTATTCTGCTGTCCTCCAGGTCTAGCCACCAACCAGGCCAGGTCTTCTTAAAGCACATCTCCCCACTGCTCAAGTATGATTAGGGGCTCCCACAACCTCCTTGCTTGACATGCAAGGCCCTCCACAGTACAATTGTTACACACACACACACACACACACACCACCCACAAAGAAAAACTAAAACCAAACCCATTGCCGTCGAGTTGGATCTGACTCACAGCAACCCTACAGAACAGAGCAGTATTGTTCTATAGAGTTTCCAAGGCTGTAATCTTCACAGAAGCAGATGGCCATCTATTTCTCCAGAAAAGCAGCTGGTGGGTGCCAACCGCTGACCTTGCAGTTGGTAGCTAAGCATTAACTACTGTGCCACCAGGGCTCCTTACGATTATCACAGTCAGGAAATTTAACATTGCTCCAATGTGTGTGTGTGTGTGTGTGTGTATACACACACACACATAACATATATATATACATGTAACATATATGCATAACGTATATATATATATGTTAGGAGCTCTGGTGGCATAGTGCCTAAGGCATTTGACTAACATATATATGTTGACATAACATATATGTATGTGTGTGTATATATATATACACACACACATAACATATATACCAAAACCAACCAAACTCACTGCTGTCGAGTTGGATCTGACTCATAGCGACCCCTCCTTGGGTTTCCAAGGCAGTATCACTATGCAGGTAGATTACCCAATCTTCCTTCCAAGAAGTGGTTGGTGGGTTTGAACCACCAGCCTTCTGGTTAGTAGTCAAATGCCTTAGGCACTATGCCACCAGAGCTCCTTAACATATATGTAAATTGTCCCAGTTGTACCGATAGTATCTCTTGTAGCTGTTTTTGAGCTTCCAAACCAGGATCCAATTAAGGGTTGAAGATTGCATTCAGCTGCTCTGTCTCTTTAGTGTCCTTTATTCTAGAACAGTCTTCCAGCTTTCTCTTTTTTCATGACATTGACTTTTTTTTTTTTTTTTAATTGTGACTTGAAAGTTTACAGAGCAAATTCACTTTCCATACAGCAATTCACATATACTTTGTCTCATGAGATGTTGACTTTATTGAAGAGTCCAGTCAAGTTATGTTGCAGATGAATCATTTCACTTTGAAAGAAAAATTTATCACTGTGATTGGAAAACCAGAGGCACCTACCGTTAGTAAAAGATCTCCATAAACAAAAAGAAAACACCAAAGCTACTCACTTCTTTCTGGACACTGTTGCATGTTGTAGACTCACTCTCCCTTTGTTAAAAGGAAGATTAGCAGTGTTTGTAAAAAGGTGCTAACAAAGGGCAGCACTAACCTCCCTGGAGTGGCCGATGGCTAGACACACAGAGCTGGGAGAGGGGCAACTCTCTACCTCTGTGGCTTTACATGATTTAATGCCAAGTGCGTGCACTGGGAAACCATTGAGCTGGTCCATGTCTCCAGTGTCTACAAGGGCACTGATGCCCGGGGGTGGAGGGGAGTGGGATTGAGTGACTGCCAGGATTATACTGCAAGTGACAGCAGTGGGCACAGAGAAGTCTAGAGCTCAGAATCTGGTTATGCCACTCTGCCATCAATGGAGGTTAGGAGCGTGGCTTCAGTGTCAGGCCAGATGCCAGCCTGGGTTCTGCAAGCCACTAGCCTCTCTGTGTTAGGTTTCTTGCAGTAAAATGGGGCTCATAATTACACTGACAACATGGAGTTTTTGTGAGAACTATATGAGCTGATGTCCAGCAAGTGCTTAGCACAATACCTGGCACTCAAGAAAAGACCAGTTTTTTTTAATAAAAAAGACCAGGTTTGCTGGTCTGATAGAGC